ATTTTGCTTTCTTTTCAATTTCTTAGTGACATAGAGATATAACTAAATAGAAATTTCCCCTAACAAGAATATCAGCTGAAAAATAATTTAGATAATCAAGTCAAAGAAGCTCACATATTAGTCGTGTATTCTAATTTGTTGCTTATTTTTCTTCCCTTCCATAGCCATTATCTTTTGTCTTATGTAACAAGCTATTATTATTGGGCTAATTTCACTCAAAAGTCTATGACTCAGCTATTAATAATAGCAGAGATAAAGGAGCACTTTATCTGCTGTCTTTCAGATGGGTTTTAAGTCATACTGTTCCCAATGAGTCAGTAGCTCTTTGCCAAGAGCTTTTGAAATCCCCCACTTCTGCCATTTAAACTCGTGCCTTTTTCACAACAGTAGTGAGCAGCACATTCAAACCCTCAGTATGTTCACCCACCCAGGACAGTACCGTGTCCTGCCTGCTCACACATCAATTTACATTTACTTTGTTATTCTGTCAATCTTTCTTTATACTCTCAGTCATCCTTCCTTTCCACAATTCAAATGAGTCATGGGATCCTGCAATCTGTTGTAATATAAGAAGTTTTCCTACACACCTGTTGAAAATGGTTTCCTGAGAGCCCCACTAAAGGCAGTGACTTCAAGTACTTTCTAAATAGGGTACTGAGAATTATTTCTGTAGATGTGACTTTATTTAGCAGCTGAAGTACCCCAGTTTCATAACGCATCCTCCAAAAATATTTTCGTCTTTTAGCTTCTCCCTAAATTGGTAAAATGTGGCCTATCCTCTTTCGAGACTGCTGAGAAATGCTCTTCAACCGTGTTGTCTCTCAGACTGTTCAACTCTTGTCTTTGATCGGGATGAGAGGGAGTTAATTTTCACCACAGCAGCCCTTACAGGGTTGTGGTGAGCTCTGGTGGCCAGAAAGGTGTTGCCAACACACCAGTGCTGTGGCCACTGCTGAGCAGTGCTCACACAGCACCAGCCTCTCTCTCCAACATGCCAACCCCACTAGTAGGCTGGGGGTGGGCAAGATTCTGTGTGGGGACAGAGCCATGACAGCTGACTCAAACTGGCCAAAAGGATATTTCATATCATGTGATGTCTGGTCAGCACTAAAAGCTAAGGGAAAGGAGAAGGAGGTGGGGGGGAAGGTGTTTGTTCTTATGATGTTCCTCTTCTAGAGCAATCATATGTACAGAAGTTCTGCTTCCCAGGAAATGGTTGCCCATTACCTGCTGACGGGAGGCAGAGAATAAGTTTTTTGTTTTCCTCTGCTTCCACGTGCAGACCTTGTTTTTGCTTTATTAAACTGCCTTTTTCTTGACCCTTGAGTTTTCGTCCATCTTATTTTCTTCCCTCCCCCAGTCCTGCAGAGGAAGAGAGTGACAGAGTGGCTTGGTGGGCACCTGGTTTCCAACTGTTGTTCGTGAAAATCGGATTTGTTCCCCAGTGTGCAACAAGCCAATAATTACACATTTGACAGAGAAGTTGATTGTTTATTTCATAGTTGTGCAAGCCTGGGTGCTCGCTGATATTCCACAAATCAAGCACAGCAACTATCAAAACTTTCTACTAATTTATACATTTTAGCAAAAAAAGGACTTACTGCACATCGGCTATAAATTACATAGTTCTCTTATTAATTAGTATTCTATCTTCTGTTGATTAATTATTCTCTCCCTCCTCATGCTAAGTAGTCTGCATGCTCAGTCTCTTCTTTAGAGTTGATGGGTTTCTTGGGTCGGTGGCCCCTGAGTCGGTGGTCATGGGTCTCCCTGCTGGAATTACCTTTTACCCAGATGGAGCTGATTTCAGCACAATTGCTGAGCTGGCTTTATTAGTTTCTTCCTTATTTTGGGAGTTCTGCCAAATTTCCTTGTGGCCCATAAATTCTGCGTTCTTTGTGTCCACTATCAGTGGACATCCCTCTTCCCAAGCTTTATTAACCTCCATTTAGGTTTGAGATCACTGAAGCATGTCCAGCCCTAAATCTTACAAGGCAATTCTACTGACAAGCCATTTGCTTTTCTAACACATGGACATCACTTAGAGCTTGTTAGCTGCTTTTTCATGGATTAAATCTCCCTTCTTGTTGATTAGGCTTGAAACTACACAAAAATCAAACATCAAAAACCATCCCTTCTTATGTATTTTTTTACATGTTCCCCATTTTGCAACACAACCAGGGTTAACCCACCACAAACTCCTAATTTTACACAAATCCCAATCACAGGCCTTCTGTGAACATCCCTACAGGGGTCCACAATACATCTGTGCATTGTTTCCTTTTAGACCTCTGCTTTTTCCTCATGGCAGAACTATCAACATACAAACCTTTCATCGATGCAGGGTTTTACAGTGCTAACAGTTTTTCACAGTTTGCTGAAACTTTTTAAACTTGAATGGTTTTGGTAATGCTATATTACTACATTATTATAATAGTAACAAGATAAATCAGTCACCACAACATAATCCTGCCCCTTTCTTTACCTAAAGACTTACATTAAATGCTTAGAAGAAGATGATCTTGTTAAATAAATCTACTTTTATTAAACAAGAAAACAGGACAAAAAGACATTTTTAGAAGCACAGTGTTCAGAAATCTGTCAAACAATTTGTGCTACCCATGGGGTTTTTTTTAGGTTCCTAGTTCATTCAATTCGAGCAGATTAAATCTAGAGATACTCATAGTCTTCAGGCGTTTTCCTTCTGCTTTCTACAATCGTTTGAGAATTCTCTGAAATTGTTGAAATTCAAACCTGTCTTACGAATTGTCCCCTGGACAGCTGGGGAAGGTTTGGCAAAGCCCTCTTTTTAAGCAGGGAGGGGTGCTGATGGTTGAGCTCTTATAGGGTGGAGGGACAACGAGAGCACAGCAGCATTAGTATGAATTCTTAACAAAAAAATTAGTTCAAAACTAGGATTTGGACCACTACAACTTGTCACTGTTTGAGGAAGCTCAGTGGCTGTAATTTAACCTGGCTCAGTGGAAGAATGGGATTGGGATTCAGACAGCCTGGATTCTGTTTCTGTATTTTCACTGCTCAAGTATCTTCAGTTGTTTCTGATTCTGTCTATCCTCTCTTCCTGTTAGGAAATGCATAAACAGCAAGCTGTCTGAAGAAAAGACCATCCTAATGATGCTGACATCTCAAGAAACACAAATAGTTAACAATTTGCCCAGAGAGTTACAGGGAATGAGAAGGAGGTTGTGAAACAGGATCCTGTCCTATTGTTGCAAAATATAGAATATGTAAAAATTTTCTTTCTAAAAATTAGCAGCACTTCTGCTGTCTACACTAAAGAATTTTCCTTTCAAAGATATACTGGTGGCTGCAGCATGGCATAGTTTCAGAAGAGAGAAACCCTGAACAGTAATACTCTTGTTAATCATGTTCGACTTACTTCAGCAGCTAAAAAACAGCAGCAAAGGATGTTGATCCCAAGAACTGCGATTTTTTTTTTCCTTACAGCTGTCTCTTAAATCTTGCTCAAAGGCAAATAGTGGAAATTAGACAGACTTTTCTTCATAGATGAAATTTCAGCTGCTGAAAACTCTTTCTGTCACATAAGCATTTGAAGGATGCTAAAGAACACATGCAGTGCAGGCAGCTCCGTGTGCAGCTGCAGTGGGAGCTGCAGGTTGAGCCCTGTGAGACAGTGGGATCCTGAGACAAGAGGCCATGAAATGCCAACCCTTTGCACAACAAAGCCCACAGGGACCTGTGACCCAGCCAGGTGACCAGACACTGAGACACAGCAGGAGCCAATGACCCCCAGACTTAGGTGTGCTTAGACTGTGAGGGTATAAAAGCCCAGGGGTTGCTTTGTTTGGGGTCCCGCATCAGAGGCTCCAGCTCAGGCTGTTACTTTGTTATTTAGTTACTGCACCAAGATTAAATTATTTAAAAAATAATTAAGGAAGGATGTCTGAGACTCTGCTATGGGAAACCTGGACTTGAGCCAGTTAGGGAACATGGTCTGGTTTATGAATGTGGGGTGTGTAGCTGTGAAGGGTCTTTAGTCCCAGATCAGGTGCTGCAAGAGTGACTGCCAGAGTGGCTCTTCAGTGATCAGACAGGGAAGTTTCCCTAACATGGAGATTACCTGTTACAATCCAAGAGTTGTTTCCCTTGTACCTTGAGTTGGACAAGACTCAGACACTTGGGCAGTGATGTCTCAGGATACACCTCTGTGTTTGATTGAGACCCAGAGAATTCTCCCGAAAAAGGACTTTTAGGAAATTCTTTTCTTTCTCTTTGCAGATGCGACCATGGCAGAACTACTTGCTTCAATAGCACAGCTCTCCTGCTCAGGTGACTGACTGCCAAATGATTCACACTGTAGCAGAGACAACATAAAAGTTACTCCTGATGTCTCTCTTGACATTTGGGATACTTCAATCTCATTACAAGGTGCGCATTAACTCATCACCTATTTAGAGAGTTAAGAACCAGCTGAGACATTCAGTATTTTGACATCCTGACATCTTTTTTATCACACTTTTAGTCTTGTCACCTGTAAGCAGTTTTACCATCCCATTTGGGTGTTGTTTGGGGAAGCATTTTTAAAATGCTGCATGTTTCTCAACTACAATAGGATAAATGCCATACAAATAATGGATACCAGCAGATATGAAGTCTTTGTTCAAAGCATTGTCCCTTTACTAAGCTGGAAAGTAACATGTCCTCTGACTTAAGGGGTTTATTTTACTGCTCTGATGCCATTGTGTTAGTCACCCTAAATTAGGCCAACTAAAATATCAGGTATAAACTTTTAAATACCTCTTCAGATTCACTCCAAATATTTTACAATAGTTACTGAATTAAATTCTTTTTAAGTTGTCACCTTATTATCTCAAGACTCCTTTAATATTTTGGAGGACAGCAAAATAAAGATGTATCAAACTCTTTTTCATTTAACATCCATGGAATTAATTTTTAATTGCTATTTAAAGTGGGATGATGAGCTAGAAGATGACATATACACCAAGGTTTAACCAGGATTGCCACACAGGTTACATTAACAAAGAAGCCACCCACACAACAAAAAGGTAGAGGTAAATCACATTGCTGAAGGACATAAATTGTACTTGCAATGGATTCACATGAAACACTGATGTGGGTTTTATTTGGCACACCATAGCCAGATGTTGGCTAGAAGCACCAGCAAACCTCAAAACAAAAGATTAAATGCTCACTAAGTGAGCAGTCACCTACACACAGGACCTGCTGGACCAGTGATCTAACCACAGAGAAATGGTACTTGGAGCCCACTAAGTGGGAGCAGGCAGAGGCATGAACAAGGTGAAGATATGGTCCCGCTCCTGCTACTTACCATTCAGAGCAAGGCTGTGTGAAATAGCTGCAAGAACATGTAGTAACTGAAGGATGCATTAGGCCAGCAGTGTGTACCTGCATGCCCATGGCCAGGAGGAAGAGGGGGAGGCACTCTGCGTCACATGCCTCTGAGTCACTGTGCCTTCTGGGCCAGTACCCTGGGTACAGTTTACAATCACCAGGACCTAACTTTTAGTCATCGAAGTCATAAAGAAGTGATGCCTGAGCAGATCCAAGGAAGGCACCTGAAGTCAGAATGCAATCAAAGAGAGGTTAAGGGTAAACAAAATCCAGATGGGGTTTGAATAACTACACTTCAACATAAACCCATGAAAATTTTATGCCAATCCTTTTTTCTTTCTTCCCCTTTTAATAATTGTGTGGTGGATGTAGTGCTAAGCTGATATGCATATTAGAAAAAAATGCTGGAAGTTGAAATATGTGGTAGATGAGCAAGTTTCAGCAGAGCCAGATGGAGAAGCAACTTTTAGTCTAGCTACCTAGATTAATTTCATAAGCACTTGCATGCACAGGTGATACAGATGCACTCATGTACTTCATGCACAAAAACTAATTAACTGGTATGAGGGCAATATTAGGGAGAAGTCCACATGTCTTAACACTAGCAGACCAATGCAGCTATTACTTAAAATAATGCTCATATTCTGTAACCATTCCTACATGATCTGCTGTTCCCTTTTCTCTGTGGCATCACTAAAGATAATGGGGACTTTGAGTCTGTACGTTACAATCAGGAAGAAAAGTATGCCTGTGTAACTGAAGTATGGATTTTATTTCATGAACTAATGTCAGTAATGTCAAATGTCAAGTTCCTTGACCTCGCTGCCTTATCTTGCAGATTTTATATGCCTGATCTCATAGTGCATGCTTCTTTGCACGGCAGCTTTTCAAATTATTGTATCAGTAAATTATCTGTAAGCTTAAAAATTCACCTTCTTTCACTTGAAATTGGTGGAGTTGCTCTGTCTGTGGACTGTGCAATCTTCACTGCATTAAGGTTATTAAGTGTTCAAGGTAACAGTTTTGAAGCTGATGAGGTCATTTTCTTGATGGTTCCTCCCTGAGGGAAAAAAAAACATTCTAGGGAAGGAATTTTCTGGTGCTCGTTTTTCTAAAATGGTCCCTTCAGGATACTTCCACTTGTGTCAAATTAGGGGAAAAAACTTGTTCATTTTGCAAAGGAATGGACCAATATAAAATGTTACAGTCCCACAGAAGAGTCAATGTAAAGACAGACAACTTCACTTCAGCTGTTATAAAGGTTTTTTGAACTTCCATTAGCCTTTTGCTGACATGCTTTGGAGGCTTCACAGACCTCTCTGCTCCATGAGAGATCTGTAGAAACAATAAAATCTAGGTAGTGGATCACAATAAAAAATTGGAAAGTTAGTTTTTTAATTATTCCTGAACGTGACCCTTGGGTGCTTACATACAGTAACCTTGAATCTTATTTACGCTTAAAAATGATTTGTCCTAACACAAAACACACACTAATTTTTCTTTGGAGTCAATTGAAATCTTAAATCATTACTCTGGGGACAGGGCCCAACAAATTGTTCAAGAGAAAGCTAGTTTCACAGTAAGAGCATATGGTTAATATGGGCTTCCTTTTGGAAGTAAATACGGGTCAAGTCTTGGCTGATGCAGAAGGACAAGGAAGATGCTCTTCTTTTAAGATGTTTGTAGTACTTCATCACTACTGAAAGAAATTCTGTGAATTTGTAGGGCAGAAACAGGAAAATTTACAAGCAGTACAGCATAATGGGAACTCATGGCACTGAGACTGGCACAAATGAATGTAGAAGATAAACTGGACTTGACTGAGGTTTTATTTTCCCTTCTTTCATGTAAATATTGTTTCTTTGAAGTAACATTGGCAAAAGCAATTCAAAGCTCAGCTACAGTGTACACAGCACTGGTATTTCTTTGCAGCAACTTTTGTTGTAATAAAAAAAAAAGTAGGACCTTTTACCTTGAAACAGTTCTTTTCATCTTCAAAGCATTTTCACAAATACATTCTAGCTAATCTAAACACCCCTTTAATGCAGTTAAGGTTGATTATCACCGTGATTATGACTTTACAGGAGGGACAGAGTTTAAAGTACTTAAATGTGTAAAAGTATTTGATGTCAGAAGAGGTATTAAAACTCAAGGGTCACTAAGTCCTAATTGTCTGCTCACACTAGATCTTCTCTCAATTTTGGTTTCCACTGTAAAGAATTATATTCTTGTAAATAGACTGTTTTCTATATTTAACTAAATATTATATTATTTGTGTATTAAAGTGTTTCTTAAATTAATAAGAATGTTTCAGTTTATTTGACCAAGATTTCTAAGCTCTGTGAGGCATATGACCAAAACTATTAACATAGTTGCAGGAAACTTAAATTGTCAGGTGTTCCCAGACTTCTAAGGACAGGGTTTTCAGGCACTGACTACATGTGGATTTTCACCAAAATTTTCACAAAAAATGACATAAAAAATTACTTTACATTTAAGTTCGAAAGGCCTTCATCTGATATGTAAACTACTTATTTTCATCTAAGGGTTCTTTTGTATTTTATGAATCGTGTAATGTGTAAATGAAACTTAGTTTTTACACATTATTTTAACTTAAGATAAGAAAACACTGTTCATGAGACACAGACAACTGAAATAGTGAGAAATCAAAGCAAACAGATTTCAAGTAATTGTGCATTTATTTTATTTTTGAAAAGGCGAAACGTTTTTTATTTAGATAACTGGATTTACATTCCATCACTTAGAACATGAAGTACAAAGTTCAACCTCTAGGAAAATACAAAGCTATCACTTTATTTCAAGGTTTTCTATAATGTCATAAGTGGAATTGTGAACTGAAACTGCAATTTCTACAGGAACTCTCTAACCTGTGTCTTTTTAAGAAAGTACGTTCATCATGTTTTCCTGAGCATCGTGGTATTGCTGGGGTGGTGTTTGATTACCTGCTTCCAAATCCAAAATGGCTGCTGCAGAAAACTGACTTCTCACAATGATAAATGCTGTGTTAAAAAATTCTAGATTATATCTTAATGATGAACAGTCACTGTACTGGATTCCACCTCTCAATCCTATCATGGGATTTTAATTTTAAGATATTCAAAACTGAGAAATAAAAAAACATATGGTCTATAGAAATGAAAATATTTAAAAATGTTAATTTCATAGAGCACCGTTTCTTACCTGTTATTGATTAGTTAAATCATTCAGAAGGCTTAAATACATGTATTCCTTAATCCAGGTTATAAAATGATATAAGTAATGGGAACTCATTAACTGTTGATAAACAGCTCACTTGAAGAAGTGCAAAATTTCATATTGGTACAGGTTTTTCTTCTAGCAAACTGCTAAACTGAAACTCACATGGCATTAAATGTGAAAAGGTACTTAGTTTGTCTGCAAGACTGCAGTTTTTCAGCTCCTTTTCTGATTCTGAGTCTAGGCTATTCATCCATTGTCTGGACTGCACCAAAACAGTGGCTCAGATCAGCCATCTTCAGAAACTCCATCTAATGAAGCTCCTTTTCAGCTTCCATCTCAACCTTTCTTGAACTATTTCTATCATTAACAATTCAACATGAGTAGGTTTTTCTGCTTGCTGCTCACATGTAACGTGGATATATGGAAAGCTTTATGCAGAGAAATACTCCTACAAAACACACACAGGAACAGAGAATCCACAGGTGTGAAGTTGGAAAGCTGATTCCTCTCTGGTCAGCTACAGTATCAAGCTCCCACGAACGGCCTGTATAGGAACAGCCAGAATGTTTTAAACAGAACTAAGAGCCAATTGTCTCTGAGAGTTTAAATAGTGAATACTTCCACACTATTTAAGCAAAGTGAGCTCTCATATTCAAAAAGCAAATAGATTGCACACAGTTGTGGTAAAAGACACAACTGACACAGCTTCTTGTAATCAATGGATGAACATTGTAGCAGAATTAAACAGAAGGAATTGCCAAGAATTATTCACTAAGAGATTCTGTACACTAAGAGTAGAACATATAACTTCAATGCAATGAGAAAAATGAGGTAAGTTTCAGACTTAGCGTGTTATTATGGCTACACACTGAAGAAGAACTTATCTGTAACTTCACCTGACAAACTGTAATTTCAGGCTGAAGAAGTTAACATGTAACTTTACCCACATCCTTCTTTCTCCCTTTATTAAACTACAATTTTCCAAAACTATATTTCTCATCAGTACAGTCTACACTTTGAACTGCAGTAAGAAGGCTTCAGCCCTGGTGACAAATATCTCAGCAGTGTATGAAGATCTCTAACATACACTGAAGACAAGAGGATAAAGTGTTTAAAGCTGCACAGAGAGCACATTCCAGCTGAAGCACAAGTTCAGCATTAGCTGCTACTGCCTCAGATTATCAGGAATATTCTTTTCCTCTTGGTGTACAAAGAACTGCCTCAAGATCTTAGCAGCTAAAATCTAGGACGTATGTTCAGTGATGAGTCTGAGTGTTCATTTACCAGTAGATATGTGACATTTCTTTAACAGGCAGGTAGCACTAAGGGCATGTGAGAATGGCATGTCTGAGTGCCCGAGGTGTCTCCAATAGATAATGTAGCTTTAAAGAAAATATGTGAAACACTTTTTCATACTTCCAATTAACAAGGTAACAGCTGTTTTTGAAAGCTCTACATCTGATATTTATACCTATCTATAGAAGCAAAATATATAAACACATTGATGTTTCTCAAAATGCAGGATTGTGTTATGGCAAAACAAATGTTCCACTTAAAATAAGAAAAATACCACAGGTAGGAAAACTGTAATTATAATAAAATAGTTTTTACCTTATTCTATCACTTGAAGCTCTATTTAGCTTGGAGAGCTAAACATATATACTTTTTATATATGTGTACTTCAGAAAGGATTTCCCCTTCCCCCCCAAACATGCTTCGGTTTGTTCTCAGAGTCATTTTGGGGTATTGAAAAGATCACCTTCAATTCCACTTCTGTTGACAAATTAATGAATTTGGGGCGGGGAGTCAAATAAACTGCTGTGTCTCCAGAAACATGGGAGGGAGGTCTGACCGGGATATGAACCGTCTGAAAGTTAAGTTTCCAGAGAGACCGAGCCAATGCTTAGCATCTTGAGAACATACCTGCACCTTTAAGTAGACAAACCATTGCGATCACACCAACCGCAGCACCGCTCCGGTCCCAAGCAGCGGAGGCTCCCGGAGAGTCACAGGAAAACGCGCAGGTCAGAAGGATTAAGAAAAGAGCAGGACGTGTGCTCCGGCTGAGAATTCGAGAGTTATTTAAACACGGCAGCATTCTCTCTGACCGAACAACGAAGGCGCTCCGGAGGCGAGAGCTCTGTGGGGGAGCAGCGGGGACACTCCGCTCCCGCGGCGGGCCCTCAAGCGCGGCGGGTGCTTCCCCCAGCGGCGGGAAGCGCGCCTCTTCCCCCCGCCCGGGCCGTGCCCCGCCACCCGCGGCGCCGCCCCGCCCTCCCGCCAACATGGCCGCCGCCAGCGCCGCCGCCGCCCCGGGACCCCGTGAAGTAAGCGCCCTCCGCCCCGCCGCGGGGCAGCGGCCCGCCGCCGCCCGCAATCCCTCCCCGCCTGTTCGCCTTCCGCCCCCCGCCCCGGGAAGCGGGATGCGGCGGAGCGCCGCCGCCGGCCCTCCCGGCGCTGCCGAAGCGCGTGGCCGAAGCGCTGCCTCCCTCCCTTCCCGCTCCGCCGCCCTTCCGCCTTCGGCGGGGAGCGGGCCGGCAGCCCGGCGGTGCCGGGCGGGAGAGCAGCCGCGTTGCCGGGCGGTGCCCGGCCGAGCGCTCCGCGCCGGGGCCGTTCGGGGCTCCGCGGCCGTCTCGGCAGAGACGATCTTTTAAAAAATTTTTTAAATGAAACCCGGAGGCCTTTGCTGAAATTTCCGGGTATCCGACCCGGCCGCGGTGTGTCGGGTTTGTCAGTGAGAGGGACCGTGGCACTGTGTCCGTGAACGTGCGCGGAGCCCGAGGCTGCAGCAGGAGCGAGCAGTGCGAAAGTTCCCGCTAAGACCTGTCGGTCCGCCGCGTGTGCTTGAAAAGCGGCTCAGAGCGGCGGTGGTACCAGCGCTGGGCAGGCCTGTGGGCAGGCTGAAACCCCGGGACTGCGTTTTAATAAACTACTAATTCTTTTTCTCAGGTGAAGTAGCTCGCCCCATTGTTTCGGTGTGTGGAGAACAGTTACAAGCTGTGTTCAGTTTACAGGTGTATTCTCTTAATGCAGTTTGATGATCTTCTTTAAGCAAAAGTCTTTGTAGTGCCATCCTCTCCCTCCCCTCCATATCCCCAAAACAGAAGAGAGGAATACAGAGGGATTTGTTGGTCATTAGTTGTCACAGAGACTCGTAGGTGATCATGACAATGTTTAGGACCCTCAGACGGACAAGTGTAATCTGTTACTGCACTGATATTTCCATGCTTGTGCTTAAACCTACTTGGGGAATTTCATCAAACACCAGATGAAAAATGGCATATGCTTCAATGTGATTGTTGCTTGGACTTCCACAGAGAAATGCTTTTGATTTTTTAGTTACTGGTGTGATAACTTTTTGTTAGGTTTCACTTTTGCTGCTCTTTATTCCAATGTTTGAGATGGGCAATATTAAAATAATTCATATTTCACTCTACTGCAATGCCATTTTACTTTAGATTTAATTCCAGATATCCTTAGATACAGCCTCCATTAGTTTTTACAAGTTATGTCCTTTGTATCCCTTTGTAGGATGCAATCAGTGTCTGGGATGGAGCATACAATCTTTCCATTCTTGAGGTCACTCCTAGATGTGACTGTCTCTGGCTTTTGAGGAAAGGTGAGGCGGTTCTCCCTGAGTGAAGTTCTCGCTACCATTCCATACCTTCCGTGCCTGGGCTCGTAGGTGGGGATAGAACTCAGCTCCCTTGACAGGGTGTCGTGGTTTAGGAATGATATTCTTCAATTTAGTGTTCCCACTGAAAGCACTCCAAACCATGCCGCTGGTTCACTCACCCCTCCTCCTCCTCTGTGATAGGATGGAGAGGAGAATTAGAGGCACAAAAGGTAAAGATCACGGGTTGAGATAAGAACAATTTACTGGAAACAGCAGTAAGAAAACAAACATTAACAGCAACAATATTAGTAAGGAAAGTGTACCAGAGAGGCGAGAGATTCATATGCAAATGCTCACCACTGCACCTTCACACTACCCCGGCTGGGAAGGGTCCCCATCCTCCCCGGGAAGGGTCCCCATCCTCCATTCCCAGAAAAGGATGTGAGGTAGTATAGAATAACCTCTGTGTCCTGGCCATGCTCCCTCCTGACTACTGCAGAAATTAATCCTGTCCTGGCCTGAACCAGGACACAGGGTATCTCCTCCACTGAGCCTAGAGCATCTGCATTCCTTTTGGTAATTCACTAGAAAATTTGGAAAGCAGAATTTAATATAGAATCAGATTGCCTAGCTCCCAGATGCAGATAATAATTCTGGAGATTATATATACTGGAGGAAAAATAATTGTCAGAGAGATAAATTTAAATTTAGGGATAGAGCTGCCAGCTCCAAGTTGACATTACATGGTTGAAGAAGCAGCTGCTTCAAAAATCTCTGCTGACCTAACTTTCCTTCCACTGGAATAGTGCTCCAGCACATTATAAGTCATCCCAGCATTTCTCTAGCCAATGTTGCTTTGGTGGCCTGAGGGTTGACCAGACTGCCACTGAGGTGTTTTGCAGTGGGGAAGAAGGCAGAAGCAAAATCAACATAGTCTAGCTCTTCTTCTGTGCTCTGTGTTCTCCACCCTGGGAGCTGTGAATATTTTGCAAGCTCATTGCACTGCTGCCATTTCTGACAGCATGGCCATTGGTGTTAAAGCCTTCTCGGAAACTCAACAGTGCAGCACAAGCACGTATTGATGAAGCTGCAGCAGCAGGAGTAGGAAGCCTGAGAGCAGATTTGAAAGCAACCACACCAGCCTATGCTGCCCCAGGTCAGGTGTGCTGCTTTCTGGTACAGGGACAGTCCATTATAGTGATGGATCTGTGTGTTCATAAGGACCTTAAAGCATTGCAGTTCCAAAATAACTTCTATATCATGTATCTGTAGCTGATATCTCCAGCATTGCACTGTTTTCCTCAGTCCCAACAACTTTCACTTTGCCAGATGTAAAAGTTCAGGAAGGTAAACATTCCCTTTTGAATATACTTAAGTCATAACAAGTGCTATAGGAAGCTAAAACTAGTTCGGTTACTGAAGGGACCATTTTTTACCTAGATTTAAAAAACACCAAACAAACACAAAACCCCAACCAAACAAAAAAACCCCCAACCATCAAACAAACAAGCAAAAAAAACCAAAGGAAAAAAACAAGGACCGTTTTGGTAATGTCTTCTGTTAATGTGGCAATATCACTGTTTACTGGATGCATGCAAGAACAATGTTAAATATGGTCTTTTGTTGATTTTGTGTTGTATGATTGCTCCTGTTGCACGCCTTCCACAATTCTTAAGGCTGTATTTTATTCATCCTAAAGTGTATATAGCTTTTTGGATTTTCATGAGAAATCTAACAGTCTGAACGTTCGTGATAACTAAGCAACGCGAGTAACGTGGGAACAGACCATCAATATTACTGCAAAAAACGATCTAGGTCTCCCCTAATACTTGTGTGTGTTCAGGATTGGAGTCGTAGGTTATTACTGCTATTTTCCTTTGCGCTGCTCCTCGTGCTCCTCAGGGGGGTAGCAAAAGGAAGTAGGAGATCAGTCAAAACTACTTCATCTTATCAGGGTTTACAGCATCTGGTGTGGAAAGCTTTCTTAGAGAAGTATTGGGTGTGTATTGAAGACCACATCTGCTTGTTGAAAAGAAATGCATGATAGCCAGCTAATACAGTGGTTGAACAAATGGGGTCTCTGTGAATGTGAAAGTAAGAAAAAGCTACAGAAAGAGGCAGTTCTGTGTGTGTTGTGGAAGCGGGGGTGTTGTATGTTGAAATCTGGAGGTTTTACTTGGGAAATCTTCAGTCTTTGTGGTAACAAGTTATGTCAGAACGGTTCAGATTTTTTTTTACCGTGATAAACAAATCAGTTATGAATTCTTCAATATGAAAGTGATACAAACTTTGCAACAACAAATGAAGGGGAAAAAAAAGAACATTTTCTCGGTGGTGATAGTGACATCATTTTTAAATACCATTACTAAGCTTTCAGTTGTGAAAAGCTTGGCAGTACCCATTCCATCCAAAGAGCTGCAAGTGTTCTGTACTTAAGAGAAAATCTGTCTTGACTGAAAATTGAACTGTCTAAAGAGTGACAAAAACAAGTTACTTTCCAATTATGAACTAGAAACAAGAAAATTCAGATGCATTTTTCTTTAGCTGGAATATGAAATCACAGGCAAATTTAGTCTCAATAAGAATATATGTTTCAATTTAGCCTTTTTTTTTCTTTCTCCTTTTTTACAAAAGAACTAGATCAGATGAGTGAGAACAAGAAATTGGTGATTACCAAAGGATGACAGATAGGTGGTAATTGTGAGTCACTTCGTGCTTTTTCACTATAAATTGTATCAAGACACAATGGGGATTTTAGTTGGGGAACTTCTTAGATTTTGTCAAGTCAAAATTTTTTTCAATAATGTTTTCGTTATTTTGGATGTACAATGCTGCATAGTAATGCCTGTGTCCTGGAGTAGAGTTAATTTCTTCTCAGTAACTGGTACAGTGCTGTGTTTTTGATCTGGAGTGAGAATAGTGTTCATTACACACTGATGTTTTAGTTTTTTGCTAAGTCATGTTTATCCTGAGTTAAGGAATTTTTTTTTTTCCTGTCTCATGCTCTGCCAGTGAGGAGGTGCACAAAAGAAACTGGGAGAGAGCATAGGCAGGGCAGGTGATCCAAACTGACCAGAGGGGTATTCCATACAATAGAACATCATGCCCAGTATATAAACTGAGAGAGTCACCCAGAAGGGGATCCAATCTGGGCTCGGGAAGGGGGGTCTGGCATCAGAGTGGTGAGCAATTGTACTGTGCATTACTTGTTTTTCCCTTTTCGTTTTCATTATTATTATAATTTACCATTATTACTGTGTTTTATTTATTTTCAATTATTAAACTGTTCTTATCTCAACATAAAAGTTTTACTCTGATTCTCCTCCCCATTCCACTGGGGTAAGGGGGGAGGGAGGAGGAGCTTGAGTGAGCAGCTGCTCAATTTCCAGCTGGGGTTAAACAACGACAGCCTGCTATTCTGTATGGTGGTTATGTGTAAGACTGTTTTTCTCCATGTAAACAAGAAGCCTTTGTTGTGATATGATTTATGCATGCATTTCGCACTCATCAGAGGCATTCCCAAATAACACTCTTCATTTTTATATTGCAAATAAATTTTGAGTTGGCACATCTTTGTGCACTTTTCCATAGCTTTTTTTTTATTTGGTATTTCAAAGAGAGAATCATAGGGTAGGGCATTGGCAAGTTAAATACAATTGTTTGAAATCAGTTATTTGAAATTTCCATTCTGGGAAGCTGTGTCGGGCGTATTACGTTTTGTTGTTCTGTAGTCTAGTCCCATCTTGAGCAAAAACTACATTTTGTAGCTGCCTGGTTAGTTTTTCAGCGTGCCATTAAATGTAAATTGCAAGAAGACTAATGTGTGCTTTCTGTGTAAGATCGGAATTATCGGTGGAACTGGCCTGGATGATCCGGATATCTTAGAAGGAAGAACAGAAAAATATGTTGACACTCCTTATGGCAAGGTCTGTATAACCTTTATATTTATTAATGAAATTTTCTGCCGTTCTTCAAGATGTATGTGTGTGTGGTTTAAGAATTTTCAAACTGTTAAATGAATGTATAAGGGAGGTCCCAGCACAAGACTATTCTTTTTATTTGCTATGTATTGTGTAGTTCTTAATTTCTAGAAATGAAGTATTGTAAAGATGATGTGCAAAGGAGACTATGCCTCTTCTCATTTGTAGATTTGACGAATTTGCAAACTCAGTCCTGAATTTGCAATCAAGAGATAAACCCTCTCTTTCAAGTTTGTGCTGTTATATGACCTGTATTATCTGTCAGATCCATCCAGGAACCTTTCCAAATTGCAGAAAACTGTCGTTTGAAGTATATGGGCCACCATTTTCCCTGTAACTACTGAGTTATACTTTACATGCTAATGTAAGGTCGTGCTTATAACCACATAATTTGAAAATGAAGCTCTGAGACTGTTTTTGTGACACAGATGTTCTTGAACAATTCTCCTTCACATTGATTCAGTCCCTTCTCTCAGTAAAAGGAAGTGGAGGCTGAGGCTGTTGCTCTGTACACAGCGTTGGCGGTGTTGTGAAGGATAGGTCCTGTCACAAAGCATTTATACTAGAAACAGGCAAGACAAAGGATGAGGAAAATCAAGGGTGAGAGAGGTTCTAGTTGGCACAGGAAGTTCATAGAAGAATTGGATCTTAGATATTCTGTACTGTCATAAGACATGGGGAGTCTGTGTGCTTTATGATTGCCATTGGAATTACATCGAATTATATCTTATGAAGTCTAGCAGTGTAAGCTAGTATACATAACAATGAAACATCTGGTATGCAGTAGCAAGTGCTATTTTATGAGTAAAAGCTTGCCAGAAAGCTCAGTGGTATGGTGTGTGATTGAACATCTGAATCTGTGCCCCCCCTCAAAAATGGTTTAAGGTGGAAGTAAGAATGTGAAAAGCAAGAGGAGTTTGTGTGCACACCATTCAGGAAGGGGAAGGAGATCAAGATTAAGGGAGGGAAAAAATAATCAGAAAAAACACATTTGGCTTTTCTACCGTCTTTCAAAATGAGTCAACAAACTGTGTTAGAATGAAGGGAACTGGCCTTCTGTGTTTTTCTATAGTGTACTTTCCAAACGTATCCAGCATTGTTCTGAAGGAGAATCCACTGGCTAAACCAAACCAGTTGCCGTTCATTCCCTGTCATGAATGTTCACAGCACGGATGTGTTTGGAGACTGCTGACAAAGCAAAAGTAACACTGTGCTTTTAGCAGGTATTAACTGAACCCTTACTGTCTAGGAAGGATGAAACAAGTTCTCCCTCACAGATTCAGATCAGATTTAAGGGCACATTGGCAGCACAGCGTTTGAAGGTCTATTCTGTCATGGCACTGAGATGCAACAGGATTTGGGTGACACAAATTCTGCAGTGCAGCAGGGTTTACTGTTACTGAGAGGAGTGGGAGTACTTGCAGGATAGGTCCTGCACAAGGGAGTAGAAAAAGCTTCCTCAGTCACGTATCTTCAGTCTATATGGAAGGCTTTTTAAGTTTCATTTAGTAAGCAGATTAGCTGGTGTCTTTTTTTCCTGTGTTCTTCACAGAATGCAATATGAATAGGAGAAAATAAATCTTGGTACCTGTTGTGGTTTGTGAGAAACCTTGATCGATAGACTGGCTTTGTCTGAGCCTGTGTATTATGCACTTAGCATGGACTCAACTTAAAAGCTCATTAAAGTTTTTTCTCTGTCTAAGGGGGGTCGGGGTATAACTGAGATGTCAGGGTAAGAATCCAAGCATGAATTCCAGGTAGTGTGGTGAGTTAAACTGGGACTGTGAAGCTGACCTGGATGGACTGTGAAAGAGAACACAGCCAAACAGCAAACTTTTATCCTTAACCCTGATGACCTGTCTTCCTTCTCTGAGATCTGAACTTCTAAGAAATGAGACCATTGACCTGATGCTTGTTTCATGTAGATTCCCTCCTCTGTAAGGTCACATCAACTTCAGTGGTTCAATGCAGTTTGCATCCTCATGGAGCAACTGATGGATCAGCCTTAGTGTGAGATGTGCAGAGCTTGGTGAATGAGTTACAGGCGCATAAAGTGCATTGAACTGGGTCGAGTTGATGGACTTCCACTGAAGCAGAAACAAACCTCACAGATTCAACTGGTATCATTAGGTGGATCAAAATTCACTTATTTTGCTGCTGAGACTTTTTAGTATTCAGGAAGGAGGGTTACACAACCTGCCTCTCATTTTAGAACTACAGAGTTGAGACGAGCAACTATTGCAAGAGAGCAATTGTAGGTTTTTTTGAGTGTGCTTTGAAAAGTTTAGAAGTTTGTGGTTTGTTAGTATTTTTTCTGAAGATGTGTCTTGTTCTCGATTGTTACTTGAAAGAAAACCAAATGGGGATTTTTCTGCCGTAAAGACACTTTGTCATAGAGCTGTGACATCACTGGAGAGAGAATCTGCCTGAAATTTTAAGAAGTAAAGGACTTAATCTAAATAAACTTCAGAACTTTTTGATCTTTATTTTCTGAGAGAAGTGGGAGATGCAACATCAGCCTATTTAGTTCAAGCAAAAGTAGGAAGAGTGAAAGTGAATGGATGACAAAAGGAAAATGCAAGGCACAGTTAAAAAAGTATGCCCATTTCCTTCTATTATGTAGAAAAGCAAACTGTACAATTCTACTTTATATAAATTTTGGAGTTTAATTCTTAAGTTTCTTGGCAAGAACATAGCCAAGAGATTTTTGGCTGAAAACCTTTGTTGTGTGTCTTTAATGCTGTTTCTTTTCTTTTAGAAGATGAATAATAGCTTACATTTTGTTCATATAGAGTCCTTGAATTGTCTTCTGCTTGGCTGTCTCAAATCATAAGAATCATTTGATAACAAAACTTAATATTAAGGAATGTGGAGATATTTTTTCAGGTGAAATATTGAAAAGGTTACAGGAAACTAGTATGGTAGATTTTGTGTTTCTCTGTGTTGACATTGGTCCTCCTATCATCTTTCAAGTTACATTAATGATAATGAAAATGCACTACATTAGTTTAAAAAAATAAATAAACTTACAGCTCTTAATATTCCATCTGTCTTTCTCCTTTGTCCGATTTCAGTGCATAAAAAATTTGGTGTTCTATTGAAAACACCCTGACACCATTGGGGATTCTATATATGGAAAACAGTGTTCTCCTGCAGGATAATAGATGCTGTTCCAAGCAATTTTATCTTCATGATTGAATTTTGAAGCTACTACAAAGCTTTGTTCAGAATATACTTTCAGTTAGATTGTTTTACTTTCTGGATGACAGATCTTGGTTCCGAATCACCTTTTCCCAGTTGGGCAAAATATCTTGCTGTTCTAGAAAACTATTCTAGGGGCTCCCCCTCTTTTTCTGGTCATAGGCGTATCTGGCAAACAAAGCAAGAGGGAATTTGGCCTTGCAATGATCTTTGTGTGCTTACATTAGGAAAAATCAGACCATGTAATGTAACACTTACACACCTCTTCTGCCTCCCGAAAACAAGGTGCATAATTTGGTTTGTAAACTAGCTCACAGGTTAAATGGAGGCTCGGGGAACCTCTGGATACTTTTCATCTCAATTATTCCTTGATTTTTGTTTTCCTTGGAAATAAACTTAAATCTACCACCCGCAATAAATTTAAATCTGTCACTTCTAAAACAAAGGGTTCAGTCTTCAACTTACTAATCTTTACTTTTGACTTTGATAGGAGGCAAGGACTTTTGCTGGATGTCCTCTTTAGTTTATAGGAGTACTTTTGTATCCTGGTGTGAACTAAGTGCTTATTACTTCACACAGCAAATGTGTGTAAACAAAACAAAACCCCAGTTGCTAATTATTGTGAACCTTCCTTGTTATGGAATGTTGTAACATCACAGCTAGCAACTAGGCAACAAGGCTTTTGCCCTGTTTAAAATTTCACTCCTAAAGGAATATTTGCTTCAGAAGAGTATATGTAAGGTGCAGTAAAGATTAAACATTTAAATATCAATAGTTTAATATTAAATGGAGACTTGTAAAAGGAAGTGAAAATACACTGCGGTTCTAAAAATAAATGTTCTGGCACATTCCCTTTTAAAAAAAAGTAGTGAACGTGTGTCTGACAGAATTTAGGTGTTGGTGGTGCTTTGAAGAGCTTTCACATAATATTTGCCAAAAAGATCTGTGGAATAGGAAGTAGAAGGTGATGATTTTATTAGAAATTGATATCTTCAAAATGTAGCTACATGGGACTCAAATATCACTTTATTCTAGAACTCTGCAAATTTTCTAGTGAGTAATAGAATTGGCAGCTGTAAAACTAAGCTCTGATTGAAATCTTGCAGCTAGCATTATAATTTTGTTTCTATTTTATCAAGTAGCCTGCAATAGAACATTTCTAGATGTAAATGTGTGAGTCCTTCAAGGCACTTGCAAACGTGTGATCGGTAGATTAATGATAGTTTTGTTAGTAGCTGTTTAACAAAAAGGGAAGCTAGATGTATTTTGTATTTCAAATCCCTAATACCCAGGAGGAGAATACAGCCCACGGAACAGTTAATTTATTGTAATGGTGGTTGATGACTTGGGAGCTGCCTGGTGTGGGCAGTGTGTCCCATCTCCAAGGCAGGGTACATGTACCAGCTAGAATGAAAATGCTCTGTCATCCTGGCTGGTTGGTAGTCAGGAGGAATGTATTTTCCTGTTGTGTAGCTGTGAGAGAAGTCCCAGGGCTGAGCAAATGCAACACTGCCTCTGCCACTGATGGACCAGAATTTCTCTGTCATATCACAGTTCACTTCCCAAAAGCAGGACTTCCAGCAGCAGGGAAGAGTGATTTTTTTTCAGGAAGCTGGGGGTGAGTTGGAGGAATCCAGAACTCTGCACACCCCTATTTTGAGATAGGGGCCCATGGTAGAAAGACTGAGAAGAGCATGCCGAGTGTTATGGAAAGGGACAGATTAAATGTGATTTACGTTGGGAGGGGACTTTAGTAGAGAGTGGCACTTGTTTAGCAAAAAAACAACCCAAACTGACAGGAAAGAGTGAGGCATGCTAATCAATCTAACAGGAACATGTACATGCTGGTTTTTTATTAAGCACTGTTTGAAATGTTTTTTTGATATGTTTGAAAGTATTATGGTTTCAAACCCTAAAGTAAAGGGTTGCAATGTTAATGTTAGTGTGAACGCAGAAAAACTGTGATAATTCTTTTGGTCTGAAATTTGATCTTCCTGTACCAGACTGTTTTACTAATCTGCCATATCAAATTACACAGCTGAGCTCCAGAAAATGTGAGACTACAGTGGTAGCCAGTACTTCCTTTCATAACTATTGTGCTTATACTTGGGTAGTTATAAAGGTTTCTAATATGATTGTCAGGCTGTAACTCATTCTTATTTGCTTGTTTTGCAGCCATCAGATGCTTTGATTTTGGGAAAGATCAAAAATGTGGACTGTGTGCTCTTAGCAAGGTAAATGAGCATTTTAAGGGGTTTTATATTATGTGTCTTAAAATTTTCTCAGAAGTTTTTTTCTTTACATTAGGTAAACTGAATTTCTGCTGTGACTTCATCTTGCTCTGTGTGGTTGCCAACAAAGTCAAGCAGAAGTCTCTATTGCTTCCTGAGCAAATTCGATGCTGCAGGGACTGAGAATATTAAAAATACTGTCTAGGTTAGGAAAGAGAAAACCAGTGGGAGGTTCTGCCCTAGTGAGAATGGCAGCCTGCAAGGCCACCTGTTCTGTTGGTAGGTAGGTGGTGCTGATAACTTTACTAATTAATTCATCTGCTCACTGTGTTTGCAGATTTCCTTTGTGAAATGGAGAAAATGCCTGTTTCTAGGTGAATTGTGTCTCTAATACCACTGTAGACTCTTCCAAATAATTTCCTTTGATTATTGAGTCCTCTGGCTGTTACAGTTATTGCTTAGGGGGCTGCATCCCCTGCAGTTTTCCCTAAATGATTCAGACATCTCTTACTGTACTCAGAAGAGACTCTGGAAGCAGGATCTGCAGATGAATGCATGGCAGTTTCTCACTAATATAACCATGGATGTCTGGGACCAATGTACTACTAGATTAAACATAAGAATACTAACACAGTTCTCAGCATCTGGACAGCATGGGCAGAGCCAGGTGCTAATGACAGCAGCAGGCCCAGACAAGTAAAGTTTTCTGGGATCTTCCAGGGTCCATCCAGGGAGTTCAGGCAGGAGCTGTAGGAAGTGGGAGACAAGGCTATAGCATGTATGTAAAGCCCACCTCGGACTGCAGACAAAGTACAGTCTGGGAGACAGGGCTGGGGACAGGCACACCTGTGACATGGCTTGGGCCAGGAGTGAAGGCTGGAGTCTGAGCTTGGAGGCAGGAGCACCTCAGGTTTGAGTGGAAGCCCAGGGTAAGACTGGCCAGGGCAGTTAGGATCCAGTGGTGCACTCAGGGCCCTGATTCTGTTCATGCCAGTGTTTTTCCATTAAAGCTGCTGACTGGTAACCATCTCTGCAACTACACTTCTGTCTGTGGTTTTACTTTTCTTATCTTTCGTGGACTTTACTCATGTATTTTTTTTACAGCTGGCCAACATTTTTCTCATTTTCTCAAATGAAATGCTAAGTCAAGATACCATAACTGTGCTGTGTCAAACTAGACCTTGGGCCACAGATAGTGGGTTACCTCCTCACTGGAATTTATTACCATTCATATATGACCTTTGTGAGTTTACTGTTAGGGCTAAGGTACCTGAAAACTTCATTTTGTGTTTTGGTTTCTGAATGTCAAATTTCAAATTAAAAAAAGGTGCATGTATTCTGGAAGAGGATTATGACAGCAACTGCAACATTAAGCAATGAATCTGCATTCCTAATAGCTTATCAGAAATGGTAATGACAACATGGGAATCCTCCCTTACAGTGCTTGGTCATATTGTGTGCAACTCTCAGTTCCCAAATGATCAAATTCTTAGGACTTTTTGATCTCTGAAAAAATCAGTTGGGAAATAAAGTTCCTTCTTTTCTCTTACATGGTTGAAAATAATTTTCAAATGTGTTTAATCATTATATAAGTGATACACTTCTTTAGCAAAGACAGAGGTAGCACAGAAGCTTGTGCTTACAAGACTAAGTATTTCCTGTCTTGGAGAAGAAGAATACTGCAACAGTGTGAAGTCATTCTTTTAATTTATGAAAGCTGTCAGATCACTGCAAAAGCAAAGAGAAAAATGTGATGATTCTACTGTTTTCTTTGGAAAGATGACAGGTTAGAACACAGTGTTCTGTGATGTACTACTCTCTTCTGTGTAGGGGAATACAGGCAGCACTTCTGGGCAGAAAATTCCTAGAGGTGTATATAAATCTTAGAAATTTCTTGTAGTGTTTGGAAAGAGTTTCGGAATCTATAGAAAATTCAGAGGAAAATGCTTATTTTACTCTCGAATCTGCTGAAATATATTTGGATTGTATTTTTAAGATTCTTTTTGTTACAGTCTTGAACTTAAAAATTTTTGCATTTAAAAAGAAAATTACACCGCTGTTTCTAAATTGAGTGCTGAGAGGACCTTAGTATGTTTAGGAAAACAAGCTACACTGGAAGTAGCTGAAATGACCAGTTCCGCTTCCAATATTGTTAGGGAAAATATGTTTCCTGGAATTCTCTTTATCCTGCAGGAGGAAGGCAATTTCAGTCTGATTTATTTTGCTCTCTTGCAACATGTACCTTTGCAGACATGGAAGGCATCATACAGTTATGCCATCGAACGTCAACTACCGTGCCAATATCTGGGCTTTGAAAGAAGAAAATTGTTCCCACGTATTAGTGACTACTGCCTGTGGTTCCTTACGAGAGGAAATACAACCTGGTGATCTTGTCATAATTGACCAGTTCATAGACAGGTGAGTAACAGGGAGGTAAATGTCGACAAGTGGGGCCATATAATAACGTGTCCCTGTTAACTCAAGTTTTTTCAGTTCTTCTGTCAGAGAATGAGATTCATGCTAGAAGATACGATAGGAAATAGGAATGAGATTACAAAAAGTTCAGTTCTAACAGGCATAGAAGTACCAGGCTTTCAAGAATGGCCATGAATGAACTAAAGTATAGCTCCATGGGAAGAGTGTTCTTCAGAAGAAATCTCCTATTCTCAGATGTGGGGAAGATACCTGGATAAGAGCACAGGCCATTCAAATTTTATGAAGAATCTGAAGTGAGATCGAGAGGGATAAAAAAGCATAGTAGGAAAATATTTGCAGTAATGATGAGGTTTGCAGAAGAGAGGTATATGCAACACAGTAACAAAAGAGAGGAGGTTGTTTTAAAAGGAGGATAGATGCTTGCATTTTTTATTTGCTAAGAATCATAAGCAAGAAACTTTTTTTCCAAAGTCTGTGTACTCCAGACAGTCTAACTCTCCATGATAGTCTGATGTTTAAAAAAATTCAAGTGAAGCTGGGGGGAAAATAAAGTTACATTTAAAGATCACCAGCACCGCCAGTATTTCAAAAGAGGCAAATAGTTGGGGTGTTGCCAGCAAGTTAGAGAAGTTGATCCTTCTTCCCTTCTATTCCATGTTGGTGAGCCACATCTGGAGTATTGTATCCAGTCGTAGGCTCCACAGTGCAAGAGGAGCATGGGCACACTAGATATTCCGCCTCTGCTTTCTTTGTGCTTATAATTGCATGTGTTTAAATAATAAAAGATCCCTTTTTTTAAATAAATACAAAAATACTTTGTGTTCTCCCTACTTCCAAATCCAAAAATAACCACAGGTGATACTATGAACTTCAACAGTTGTTATCTTTTTGTAACAAGTACTTAGAAAAAAACCTGGAAAAATTTTTTATACCTTTGGCTCCGCTTAGTTAATTACAACATTGTTAGTCAACTGTCTACATCAGACTGATTAGGGGCTTTTGAATTCTAATATCTGCTGATATTTGCGAAGCAAAGAAGAGTAAGACTAACTTGAACGACTGAACTCAGCTGGGGAGATGCAGAAAATAGTTTCATAAAAGAAATTCTGTAACAACTGCCAATTTTAATGTTTCAATTCTCTGTGTCACATACACTATTGCAATTACTCAGTATTGTTACACTCTAAATTTTTTTGAGGGAGAGTTTTCTTCCAGTGTCCCTGAAGACACGAGCATACTGAGACTAATTTTTATACTGCCAGTGCTGGTGGGAGTTTACATTGTGTTCTTTAATTACTAATAGTTTGATAATTCAACACTACTGGAAGAAGGAGGAGGGTGATGATGCAAGTGATAGAGAGCTGTTTGTCACAGATGGAAATGATTGGTTTGTTCATTTATTTGAGTTGGATTTGCTTTCTAGAATCAGTCATAGTCAGAATTGCCAGAAAATCCTGTATTACTGTTACAAAACCAAAATGAAGGAGCAAAAGCCACCTTGCTGTCTGCTTAAAGGTGTGAATGTTGCTGCAGACCGGGGAATAGAAACTGAGAACATCTTCAAAATTGCAGTATGTGCAGCTTTGAATTTCTAAAAGCAGTAAAGGTGAAGAAGGCATGGCAAAACTGTAACAGTGCAAGGGTTTGCTTGCACTGAGTGCCAGTGTTTTCTTGAGCTTGGTACTCAAACAATTGTGCTTAAAAACATAGGTGCCCCTTTCCCAGGGAAAGAATTCCCTTTTCTCCTCCCAGGCCTGTTTGGCAGAGAGGCAGCATGAGGCTCCAGTAGGCATTCTCTGCAGAGCCCTATGCACAGGTCAGATGACCAGCAGAAGCAATGCAGCACCATCTCTTAGTAGATTGTTTGAGGTTATCAATCCAGTGTCTTCTGGTGCTGCTTCTGATTTCCCCCACTGGGGGTATCTCTGTACTCTCCCTTTGTGCTACGCTTGATCCTTCTGGATTGTGCGCTTCTACTATGAGTATCATGGCTAATTTCTAGGCAGGCACGTGGTGACTTATTCCTGTTTAATTGTGAGTAATCAGGCAGTTGTATAATATTCAATTGTGCTTTGTTGTTAAGTAACCCGTCTTCTGACAGAGGGCATGCAAATTTTTCCATAGTTAAAACTGTGAGATCTAAGGAGCAGATTGTCTTTGAAGACTGGCTGTTGAGTTCCTTATTTCTTTTTTCCTGCTGGCTCCATAAGGAGTCACTCAGGGTACATGGGGATGTCTTCAAATACCTATAATGAGAGGCAAGTACTATCATTTGTTTCTGGCTCTTGGTCTCTGTGAGAGTAAGGCAAGGAAAGGATCTGTGATTCTGTGACCTTCATTTTTTCTGCAAGAGATACAGGGGAATGGTATTCCAGCAGTTAAAATTATGTGCTGCTGCCCTGTACCTTGCAGACAGATGAGTTGGACAGATCAAGATGGTCAAGCCTTGGCTTGAGTAGAAGGGCTGGGCAAAGGATGAGAGGCTAAAAGGCCTTCCTCTCTGCCAGCCCTTATTTCATATATAGCAAGAGTCAGAAATAGAATCAAATCCACCTTTATTCTTACCATAGCCTAGCAACTTACAGACACATCATCTGGCCCATATGAAATAGCTGTGGCCTTTGCAGAGTTGCAGCCTTCAACGCAGAGGAGGAATTGTCACACTCTTAAGTGCAAACAGATGTGGTCCATTGCTCAGAGCAATTATAGGTCTTACTGTTGTTACTTATTCCCATGCAGTTTGTATGTATGGTGCTAAACATAGTAGGGTTTCCTTATAGGCCATGTAGAGATGTGTCCATTCTCTTCAAAGAACAGGGTATCTGAAAGTCCGATATTAATATTTACAATGTCTGAAATACCATAATGCAGGAGATGGATTATGGCTTTCACCAGTTCCTCCGACTCTAAATTGTTTATTAACAGACACTACAGAAAAGTGTGAAAAATCAGATACATTCTATTTGCACCTTTTCAGTATCCTGTAAAGAAAAAAACAATATCAATGTTTCCACTGATTTTAACAGTGTATCCCATTTTACATATGGTTTTAATTTGTTGATCTCTTTGCTATTTTAGAATCTCATTTTTAAGGCTGCCCTATTATTTATTTTTTTCCCAAACCTACTTTAACATATAACTTGTGTTTTAAACCTTTTTTTAAAAATATTTGCTAACTTGTATGGGGGGCTGTTGTAAACAGTATTAGCAGTAGATGTTTTGTATTTTAACTGTGGGTTGAATTTGGCTGTTGTCTTAATTTTCTCCTGTAAAGTACAATATGTAATACACTGCAAAGAAGAAGGAAATGTCTCAAAGAGTTTTGTTCCAGAGGGTTTGTGCCATCCAATTGGCTGGGTTAGCTTGAGGTGGTGCATTTGAAGGTAAAGTGATATTGGGCAACAGTTCCGTGTGTTCCAAAATGGCATGCTGGATGGTAATTTCTGCAGCATGTTTGGCCATTTGCATGCAAGGAAACAATTTCTCAATTGAAAGAAAAGAGAAAAAGGATTCTCCTACTGGGAAGCTGCCAGTGCTGGATGGGCATAATCTTTCTGAGAACAAGAAGACAACCTGTTGCCAAATTTTTCTAGTTGAATTCAGACCTCTTTTGTGCAGGAAGCTGTTCCTATAAATTCCCATCCTTTCAATGTAAGAATGCAATGATATGAACAAGTTCTACTTTGACTAGCCTTGTGGTAATTCAGACTTTATTTCTTGCCTTCTTGAAAGCTTACTGTGCTCTTTTTTTTGGAGGTTACATGCCTCACTATTAAATTAGCTGACTGTTTTTGGGTAGAATTGCAACATAATGTGGTGAACATAGCTGAGGAACATTGTGAAAATACTGAGGAACAAATAAGCATTTCAGCGTCCTGTTAACAGAAGATTTTCTGTAATTATTTGATAATGCACTCCTGGAGTAACACTTTTATAGTCTTGAGCTCAATTCTGAGGGTTTGAACAGAGGCAAAACAGGATTATAGGTGGTCATTAAGATCATACTGATTTTTCCACCCACCTCCCAGGGATGCTGTGATTTTTGATTTGTAGAAATTTCTTGCTTTCTCTTTTGTTTTATTTCTGTTCTTCTCTCTAAGCATGTTACTGTTTTTCTAGGACAACTAAAAGACATTGTACTTTATATGATGGGCAACATTCCAGTCTTCCAGGAGTATGTCACATTCCGATGGCAGAGCCATTCTGCACCAAAACCAGAGAGGTTAGTGAATTTTGTAGTAGTATTTAGAAATGTTATTTTTATGGCACTTTTTTGTGATATATTAGTCTAATTGTGTGTTCTTAGAATATAGTCACAATATGCACCTTTTTGTCCTGTTTCTCCGATATGTCAATGTATTAAGGACAAATGTAACATTTGGAAGACATGGGATGTAAAAGATCTTGTATCTGTCTTTCTGAGGGAAGTATCCAGAAGATGTCAGTTGGCAACCTAGATTTCCTCAGAGTCTTAATAAATGGAGAAAAGATCTTTATTTATCAGGTAACCGGCCAAGAGAGCAATGAAGTAAACAAAGCAGTTAGGATTAGGAATTGGTTCCATTTTGTTCTGAATAAAGCTACACCTATGGTAGAGGCACTCCGCATACTTAATACAAATATTCAAATAAATAGTACTTTAGCATTTGCAGAAATTACAGTATAGCATTTGTAGGTTTGTGCATTGTAGAGCTGGGTGATGGTGGAGAGTGAAGGCTTAGGATGTTAAACGTGAAAACAAGCCAAATTGCAGTAACCTTTTATTCTTAACTTTTGCTTTCAGTTTTGTCACTTCAGGATTTTCAGGGTTCATAACCACTTAGACTTGGGATTTTCAGGGTTCATAACCACTTAGACTTGGGAGTGTGAAACACTTCTCTGTTTTTCAGCGCCTTTATAAGCTTCTGGGAGGGCTGTATCTGTAATTAAATATGTCACCTTAGTGTATTCTTAGAGTTGAGGAAAAAGGAAGGTGAAGGTTGAACTTCATATTTTGTGCTATTGTTGAATGCTCTGATCAGAAGCTGCAAGGAGGTATGTTCTTCAGGGGAACAGGAGTACTTACAAAATCAGTCATATCAATCTAACAGACTTGCTGTCTGCAAGCAAGACAGAGCTTAGTTGTGAAGCAAGTGGCACAATCTATACCCAGAGAACATCTGTACTACTGATCTGTTCTGCTTTTGTCACCAATTCACTTCAATGTCCTTATGGGCTATTTCTGTTAATTGGCCACACTGTGGTTTAGAAATAGCCACTGGCAAGTCCACACTGGGAATTGAGATGTTTTACAATGAACTAAAGATATTTCAAGTCTCATGAGGAAACAAACCACTGCATATTAAACATATGCGTGCGTTTGACCTTCTTCTCTTGAGCTGCAAATTGTACACTTTGCATTTTTCTTGCAAAAAGGAATCTAGTCACATGCTCTTACCAAAGGTTTGTTGGCATAGAGTTGCTTTCTAACTGTGAGCATGGTGTCATGTCACAACAGATACAAGGAGTTTATTAAGAAATTGATTGAAAACAGTGTTATTTCTGAAGTGATTGGCAGCACTTCACACTGTCTTTCACTTTAAAAAAAAAGTAAGTACTCATGCATAAGGCATTTCCTGGGCTTGCAGGAGACATACACCTAAACTAGTTGTCTTTCAGCTGTTAACTCGCTAGAGACAATGTTATTTAGGTATTACAGTTTTTGAGAAGCCAGCAGAGAAATGCACCTTTTCAAACAGAGAAAAAACATTTAGGTACTTCCCAGTCTCACATGTGATCATAATCTCATTAGCCTGTGCATTCTAATCAGTCTAACAGATGTTTTAAAGGACATGTGGTTTTGAACTCCTTGTGAGGCTGAGAAGGAATATTTTTACTTCATTTGAAATACCAGCCGAAAGTGACTTAAACTTTTTCCATTAAACTATCCCTGAAAATAGTTGGAATAATTTCAGCCCAATGCAGGGGAATTTCATAGATAAATGCAATAATAATGAAGTCCGAACTCTGAATGTAACAGTCTATTTAAGGAATTTTACATCAAAACATCTGAAAACTTTATATTATATTGCATTTTTGCAAATTCATTAAAATACTCTGGTTTAGTTGGTTTATGCACTGTAAATTAAATAAGCATCTGAACAGAGTTATCTTTTCCTCCAGTTGTAAAGTTTTGAATACCACAGAGTGCCTTGGTTATTAGTGCTTTCAGAAACTGAGGCTCAATGCAGCATCTTATAGGCAGTAAAACTGGAACTTTGTAAAGTGTTTTGGGAAAGTACTGCTCAACTGTAGTTTAAGTCAAGTCACAATTCAAGTTGTCTATTGATTTATTAACAATATGTAATAATTGGCATTCAGTTAAACATAGATTCAGAATTAACATCAGCAATGAACCAAAATATTAGGTGTGATTAATATTAGATTAACTTACAGCACAGAATTAATCATAGAATGTTAAGAGGTTGGAATGCACCTTAAACATCATCTAGTTCCATCTCCCCTCCCATGGGCAGCGATATCTCCTACTAGACCAGGTTGCTCAAGGCCTTTTCCAACCTTGCCTTGAATACTGCCAGGGTTGGGACATCCACAACCTCCCTGGGTAACCTGTTCAGTGTCTCACCACCCTCATAGTAAAAAGTTTCTTCTTAATATGTAACCTAAATTTCGCCTCTTTCAATTTGTACCCATTACTCCTTGTTCTGTCACTACAGTTCCTGACAAAGGGTCCCTCTCTGGCTTCCCTGTAGGCCCCTTCAGATACTGGAAGGTTGCTGTGAGGTCTCCATGCAGCCTTCTCTTCTCCAGGCTGAACAGCCTCAACTTTCTCAGCCTGTCTTTGTAGAGGAGGTGCTCCAGTCCTCTTATCAACTTCGTGGCACTTCTCTGGACTTGCTCCAACAGTTCCATGTCCTTCTTGTCTTGGGGACACCCAGAACTGTTTGCAGTACTGCAGGTGGAGTCTCACAAGAGCTGAGTAGAGGGGTAGAATTGTCTCCCTCGACCTGCTGGCCACGTTCCTTTTGGTGCAGCCCAGGATTCCATTGGCTTTCTGGGCTGCCAGTGCACATCTCTGGGTCATGTTGAGTTTTTCATCAGCCATCACCCCCAAGTCCTTCTCACAGGGCTGCTCTCAGTCACTTCTCTGTCCAGCCTGTAGCTGTGTCTGGGACTGCCCGAACGCAGGTGCAGCACCTTGCACTCAGTCTTGTTGAACTTCAGGTTTGTGTCTGCCCACCTCTCAAGTGTGTCAAGGTCCCTCTGGGTGGCATCCCTTCCCTCCACCTTGTCAGCTGCATCACACAGCTTGGTGTGTCAGTGAACTTGCTGAGGGTGCCCTCAATCCCACTATCTGTGTCACTGACAAAGATGTTGAACTGTATCAGCTCCAGTACCGACCCCTGAGGGACACAACTCATCACTGGTCTCCGTGTGCACAATGACCCATTGACCACAACTCTTCAAAACATAAATTTCCTATTACTGTTCTCACTAGCTCAACTCCACAATGTGATAATGTAGTGCTCAGTGGACCACTTCCACCATTCTGTTTGCAGTGTAAGCACAGTCTAAATATGCAAAAAAATCCTGTTTTCCAGTCTTAGTCTGCACTGAAAGCAGTAATCCAGATGATACCAACAAAATCAAATGAGTTCAAGTTCGTTCCTGTTGGTCAGACTGTTAATTTCCCTTGTTGGGTGGGGAAATCTAAACTGATCCTTGGTTTTGGACAGCTGTAGCCATATGAAGTTTGACTGCTTTGCATAAAGCTAACTTCTTTTCTATATAAGATTTTGAGGGGATGCAAAAGCACTGCAGGAAGGGCATTATTTCCTTTTCGCGATGTTGGCATGTTTTGCAGGTTCTTATTGAGACTGCCAAGAAGCTGGGGCTCCAGTGTCATTCCAAGGGGACAGTGGTCACAATCGAAGGCCCACGTTTCAGTTCTCGAGCAGAAAGCTGTATGTTTCGCAGCTGGGGAGCTGATGTTATCAACATGACCACAGTGCCTGAAGTGATTCTTGCGAAGGAAGCTGGAATGAGTTATGCTAGTATTGCCATGGCAACAGATTATGACTGCTGGAAGGAACACGAAGAAGCAGTGAGTAAAACTTCTTTCCTCTGGTCTTGTCATCAGGGATTTGAATGAGAATGTGGTTTTGGTAAGAGATGACATATTGAACTAAATCTGTTCTTGCCTACATCAGTATCCCTGAGGTATTCATGATGTATGATTGTGAAAGTAAGAACAGAGTCAGTCGTTGCTCTCTTTTGTTTTCACAAACTTGCCTCAATACTAGCAAACATTTTGTTTCCTCTTGTCTGAATCAGGTGGTCTTTGAGTATGAAGCTCATGAACTCTGTCTTGTATTTGATCTGGTGTTTTTTCTTTTGCAGCTCTGTGCAAAACAGCACGTATGCCTTAGTTCTCCTGTTTGTGTACAATACACAAATATACACCATACACACACAGAGGAAAGGTGTTCTTACTGTCTAAAAAGACATTGTAAGGCTTCACCTTTATACTTATGAGTTAAATTTATTTGGTTGTTAAAAACGTGTGCCATCAAAATTGAGAGACGTCATTCAGTTTTATTGTATTTCTAGGTTTCAGTGGATAAAGTTTTAAAGACACTGAAAGGAAATGCAAATAAGGCTACTAGCATACTCCTTACTGCTATACCTCAGATAGGTTCGATGGAATGGACCAACACCCTGCACACCCTGAAAGTAAGTACACTCATGAGGCTGATGAGTGCAAGAAACAGTGTATGTGTGTAAATACATAACACAGGTGTATGGTATAGAGTGTTTCTGCTTAAATCACAATGTTTCAGAGTAGATGCTTCAAGAAACCAAATCCATCCAAGATGGGCAAACATTTTACAAGATTGTTGCAAGCTTTATTGCGAAGATCTAGCTTCAGTTTTACAAGAAGTTTTACCAAAGGTTAAAAAAAATGGTTAGCTATATATGGTTGATGAAGTGTTATCCTTCATAGCACAAGTAAGATACAGATATATGTGAGTATCCAAATGAAAAACCTGATCTTAGCTCAATGGAGAGTCAAGTGGAAAAGACTGAACCAAACCAAAAGCATTGTGCTCACTTTAATATGTAGAAGAAGAGTCTGTTACAAGAAATAGGTAATAACCAGTTTGAAATTGTTTGGAAGTGTGTTCTCCCACAGGTTTCAAATCCACAGTGTGTGGAAAAAAAAAAAAACGACAAAGAAAAACATTTCAAAACATATTGGCAAGGGAATTTTTAGGCAGAATTTTTCTTAGGCAAGGTTTACTTATGTATTGTGTATTTCCTCTGTTTCACAAGCATGCTTGAGATTCATTTGTGGCTGTAGCAAAGAGGGAAAAAACAATGTTTAAATGGTTTGGATGTCTATCCAACTTCTCAACAAGCGTTTTTTGATGAATAGCTACTTCCAAGAGTACAAGAGCTTATAGTGTGAGCATAACTGAGGATTATGTTGAGGTGGTGTGGGAGGTAGAGAAAGATAACTGGAATGTGAAAGAAAGTAGACAAAAGTGGGCCACAAGGATCTCTCTTGGTGGAAGCAGCAGCTGTCTGAAAAGGAGGAAACCTATTGAGGAAACTTCTGAGAGAATCCAGTCTGATAACCTCCGTTAGGTTCTTTCTTCCTCTTTTCCAAAAATCACTGTGTTGTCTGAAATTTGAATGGGTAAGAAAGATGAACACAGGCATAAGTCATGTCTTCACATACCTGAAAGTGTGTCCCTGAAATTCAGTAGTCAGCAGAACTGGATGTGCTGTAAAAATCTTCCATGATTTCTGATAGGAATCAAATTTTGGGGTTTGTTTACAGTATGGTTCTCTTGTCACTGACTCTCATCTCTAGTTTAGTCAGTGTCCTAAAGGAAAGACATATGAAGCAAAATTCACCTCAGACACTTTTGAGCATACATGACCAGGTCAGGTTCATGGATGTCCAGCCCAAATCCTTGAAATTAGTCTTTTGTTGATTCTTCACTGAAAAACCTACTTTTTATTGGGAGTGACTGAATTATGATTCTTCCTCACCTCATTATCTGAACCAGTTATATTAATGTCCCCTCTATATATATTTGGGAGAGGTGACTGACTTTTTCCCTTTCCTCTCTGCATTCTTTAGAAAGCTGTGTCATGTATGGATAAGGGAAGGAACAGAATCAGTATTCCTTCTCCTCTCTAATCCACAGAAAACATTTTCAGAGGATGGGGCTGCTATCTTTAAAAGAGATGCCTAGCTATACAGCAAAACTCAGAGTTTGAACAAATAGTCTAAAACATATGCTAGGTTTTCCTTAACTACTTTTTCATACTGACATGCAAGGAAATGGTTCCCAATTATATAATGCTGTGAAAGTACTGAGGGATTTGCCCCCATTTCTGGCAGATGTACTTCAGTGAGCAGTGTCCTCTTGCATTCCTTTGCATGATTGTCTTGAATCTTCATCAGAAGTGAAAGAGAGCTGTCACTACATGTGCGGGATTCCCCTTTAATGAACACCAGCCCTTCTTTCAGTTCATTGTATAATGTTTCTTCCAGCTCAGTCCCTGAAGTACTATTTGCCAAGGGAAGAAAATACGAGGCACCAGAGGAAGGGTCACTCCATCCTAATGTAGCTTCTTAAACCCTTTTTCTCTTAAACATCTAGTGCTGCCTCATTATCAATGATGAATAATGAGGTAGTTTCACTTGAGATTGACAATTCTTATGGTTTTTTTGCTCTTTGCAGATAGTGGCTTGGTTTGAGTGATAGTATACTGAGAAAGGGAGTTTATCTGATGGCATTTGAAGAACTGGAAACAGAAAGTAGGTATTGGCAGTGGGGATTGAAATTTCTGTCAAGAGCGTAGGAGTCACAACTGTTTATGATTTAACACAACCAAGTAGTCTGGAAAAGTGACAAAATTCTAAAGCTCCAAAGGCTTTGGAGGCTTACTCTGATTTTATGTAGGAAAATCAGAAAAGGCTAAAAATCTTCCTTTTTGGGGAATGAAATGATGGTAAAGTAGATGAAGGGTTGATCCTAGGCTTCTGGGTTAATGAATTAGAGAGACAATTTTGCAATGCAGCAAAGAGAGAAATATATGTATGTGGTTCTGTACAAATGTGTAGGTGAACCATAAAGAGTTTAAAAATCTATTTTCTTGTAGTGTACTTCTGTATATTTTACACTGGGAGTTTTGAAGGTCACATGGTGAGGTTTTTTTAACTGATCTGTTCCAGAGGTACCTTTTCCTAGAGCTTGAAGGCAGCACGTCTTGCATGTCCTGTGGTAATGTGTTAAGGAACACAGACAAGGATCAAGCTGAATAAGACTGCAGCTGGTACACTACTGTCACTGACAGCCTGTATCCAGTATGCAGCTGGGTATCTCAAGTGGGCATTTGCCAATGTCTGTTTCTAGTGTTGGGGAAGCATGTAAAATGATAAAGCTCTGCATGGACACAAGAGCTTTTCCTTTCCGAGCTCTGTAATCTGGCTGCTATGACTGAAGGAACTTCACCAGGCAGGAGAAATTATGCTGCCAGTCTCTTTGCCCACCTGCATTTCTCTCTCTCCTTACGTGGAGGTATGCATCCCACCTGTACACACATGCATTGGTGTGACCTCTGAATCTCACAGTAGCCTTTAGGAAAGACTGCAGTGTTGAAGCAAAATCTCCAAGGGCTGTTTTTCTACTAAAGGTCCCTTCTCTTTCATGTGTCTTTTCATCTGTGATATGCCAGTGAGTTTAGGCATAATTTGAAAGTTACTAATTTTCTTACTGCTTAAGATGTCTTTAGACCAATATTTCCTGGCTCTTGCTGTAAAGAGGTCATTCTCCAGTCTCAGGTTAAAGCCCTTACTCTTTCAGAACAGGGTACTACCATGTGATATTTATGTCATGGATGAAGAAACACAGATCGTACTGGTGATCACAGTGGTCCAAGTGATTTCTGGCTGGTATCAGGGAAATTTCTGGATCGGATGCTTCAGTCATGGGTGATATACAGCTTGATATGCTGCTCACAGAGAAGAGTTGTGTAGTGAGGTGATAATTACTGGCAGTTGTTGCTGTAATGCTCATGAAATAGTGGTGTTGGACATCCTATGGGGAGCAAGAAAGGCAGTTAGCAGAGTACAGGTGCTGGAGTTCAGTTAAACGTACTTGGTTTTAACCAATGAAGTTGTAGGTATCATCTCATGGAAGGCAGCTCTGAAGAGGCAAGGAGATCCAGAAATTAGGCAGGTCCTTAAGGGCAGCATTCTCCAAGTACAGGACTGATCCAAAGAAAGACCAGTCAGGAAACTGAATTGACTGAACAGGAAACAGAGCTCTGTGTGAAAACGCAACATTCAAGGGTTGGAAGCAGAGACAAGCTACAAAGAAGGAATAGAAAAGCAAGAGCAGGCATGCTAGGAATTCTTTCAATAAAACCAAAGTTTGTCTATAGATGACACTTGGAAGAGATGCCAAAGGCAACAAGAACTTAACCCACTGCATTGATACCAAAAGCTTATCATGTAAAACATGGTCTTATTGCTGAAGACAGTAAATGAATTTTGGTGACAGCAGACAATTTCAAATGGGAACTGATATAGTAGATTCCTTTTTGTCTTTGCTAGGAAAGGTACTGGTTAGAGAGGAAAAAATTGTCCTGTTGAAAAGAATTTTAGCTCATAACTGGGAACTGAGCTCTGTACCTTTCTTACAACAACATTCAACACCATAAGGATCAGAAGAGAATCTGAATTACAATAATAAAAGGGATGTCCTGTGGAAACTGATTTTTCTTACAAGCTGGTTGCAAGCAAATCAGCTTGTGGTAAGTTGTCAGAGCTTTTGTGAGTGCTTCTCAGGTAAATTTCTTGTCTCTGTGAGGAAACCTGCTGATGCTACCTGCCTTTTTTTGAACTTCTGTACTAGCCTTTGTGAAATGGTATTTGGCAGACCTTTGCTACAAGGCATAATGCTGTATTTTGAGAGTTGTGGTAAGTCAATACTGTGGAATAGTTTAGATAGGGTAAGGTATCTGTAGATACCGTATGTATGTGTTTTGACATACTTCATCATTGACTCACTTGGGCATTTATGTTTGGTAGGTTGAAGGGCATAAAGCTTAATATTTTTCAGTCATTTTTTCTGCTCTGTCACAAGCTGAAACTGATGTTCCTAAGGTAGTCATGTAGAACTGTAATCTTGTAAATATGTTTGAATAATTTTCCTCCTCAAAAAATATCTCAGTGAAATCAGTGAATGTACTTATGTGACCAGAGTAAACTGGCTCAGGTGAATAAGGCAGAGGGGAAAAATTCCTCAAGGCTTTGCTTCAGCTGTAGTTGCACTGGTCTGCACATGCAGTGGTACTTGCAGGCTAAGGACCTCTCACAAAAGCTGAGATTGAAGTGTTTCTCAGGTCCTGCCATTGAATGTGGCTAATGACAAAGTTGCCTCTCCCTACATAACATGAGTATTGATTGCATTCACTCCCAGTGAGTGCACCTTTAGAGAAAGATTTCTTTTCTGAATGGCTGTACTTTCAAACTGATGAAAAATCACATAGAAGTGAAGAAAAGCAAGCTGCACAATTTTTCATTTGTATCGTGTGAGCCCAAAGTCCATAATTTAGTGTTTCTGCAATATGGTTGTTTTTCTCAATACCAATCAGCGTGTCACATAGGTTTTCAAAAGTTGTAGTGACAGCTCCATGTGTGGGTATGCCCATCTTGTAATTCTTTTAAATTCTGTGGTTTAGAAGAAGTTGGAGATAACTATGCACAGGTAAGGAGTTACACCTATTTGTAATCCAAATGGAAGCTATGTAGTCTACTTTTACATTGAAAAGTAATTCCACCTGCACTGGCAGAAGCAGCATTCATCTACTGTGACTTTGTATTTCAGACAACAGTGCAGTGTTCAGTCATCCTGCCAAAGCAGTAACAACCTGGATGAATCTTGGAGTGCTTACAAGGAAGAATGGATCACTTGTGAACTTCCAGAGGTTATAATATCTCCAAAAATTGTTACGAGCATAAAAGAACGGACTAGATGTTAACCAGTGATAATATGTAAGGCCACTGTTAAAATCTTTATCAGTTTGATAATGTATAAGATGGTTAAAATTAGCTATTGAGTATGTTTTCAACTCTTGTAACAAACGTGGATAGAGCCTTCCTAAATCTTCGTTCGCGAAGCCTAGCCATGATGATGTTTTCAACTAGAAATAGCTTTACTGTCAAGCTGGATCAGACAGTGGCTGAAGAACAAAAGTCAGTATGCTCTATTCAGTGGTACCTTTTAATTGATGGTAGAAATTAAAGTCTAGGTAATACTCTTGTTGCAGTTTCATAAAATAAGGTAAAAAAATAAAGCAGATTCACAGATAGGCTATTTGTGTTGCTGTTTCTACCTCCCATCTTTTCCTTAAATACAGCAAGTGATTATAATTCACTTCTGAAACGTAGCAGAAAAACTGAGCAAACCATATCAAATAAAAATTATGCTATTTTTATACATTATCCTTATTTTTAATTCTGTTTATTTCTTTTTAAAGAAGTGTATTTGTTTGTGTGCTAGAAGATATGATTTAATAATTGTGGTGGTTCTGTCACAGCAGCAGTTGTGTAATTAATTAATGTTCTCGTTGAAAAAATTGAGGTGATGCCTAAGCCAGATTTGTGCCTAAAGATGTACTTATGTGACTTACAGAACTGTACATAAAAGTACTTTGGTGCCAGTGTCCCAGTATGCTGGCCATTTTCTGCTTCACTGAACAACTCCAAATTTAGTTTCTGTATTAAGTGATTAATGTGCTCCAGTGCTTTGAATGTATGCATTTCAAATTTTTAAATATAATTTTACTTTAATAAAATAACCTGCTGCTTCTTGTCTAGTAAATAAATTAAATGGTTGTCCAAGCTGTGTGCAAATTGGGGTTTGTTTATTTACTTCTAGTCCTTAGTCCGTGAATTTTGTTTATCTCACAATGACTTTTGCCATTCATGGAACAGGTTGGTGGTGATACCTTATAAGCACTGCTTTTAGAAAGACCACTTTTTAGAAACACTGTGCTGCTCAGAACTTTAGGTTCTAAGTTCCTGAACAACAGGGATTGATGAGACAGAAGTGGATTAGAATGCAAGGCAAACAAGGAAGATATCAGAAACGTGAAAGGTAAGGATTCTCACGGTAATGTAAAAAAACCCAAACTAATCCAAAGGAAAATAGAAGAAAGAAGGTACATAAGCATTTTACCTTGATAGTCTTGTTCTGTTAGACACCCGGTCTCCTGCTGTGAAAGCCTTTAGATTTGGACATACTTTGCCTAGCAAAACCAGTACAAGTGCTTTTCAGATACTGGCAACAGTGGCTTAACCAATTTTCTGTGTTTCCTGGTGTTTTTAAGAACATGGGTTGCAGGAGACAGAGCTTGAACATACATTTCACTGCCTTTCACTAAACCAAAACAGGTGTCTGGCCTTAAAAATTATTTCCATTTTTATCTTTGTCCCCTAGGCACTTGTGGTGAAATAAATTGGAGCCAGGAATTCATATTTGATTGTTCCAAGAGAAAGTTGTTTATGGGTGTCCATTTTCAGTCCCCCTTGGGTTTCTCTTTTTACATTTGGTAGTTTATGGGTGTCCATTTTCAGTCCCCCTTGGGTTTCTCTTTTTACATTTGGTAGTGACATATAAAGATAATTGTTGTGTCTTTTTTTTTTTATTATTATATTGGGTACTTACTGTCACTGGACAGTGGCACAGAGCAGGTCCATAGGTAGTGAGTTTTGTTAGACATTTCTGTTATAAATTCTTCCTATGCAAGGCTAGATAACAACACTAGGTAAGGATGACTGTGTCCAAAGAGTTACAGTCAATAGCTCCATGTCCAAGTGGAAACCAGGAACGAGTGATGTCCCTCAAAGCTGTGGGACCAATACTGTGTAGTATCTTCATCAGTGAAATAAGATAGTGGGATTGAGTGTGTAGAAGACACCAAGCTGAGTGATGCAATTGATTCACCATAGGGATGGGATGCCATCCAGAGGGACCTTGACGGGCTTGAGGAGTGGGCCCCAGTGCAAGTTTCATGAAGGTCAACAAGGCCAAGTGGAAGGTGCTGCATTTGAGATGGGGCAAAGGGGATTGAGACTAGCCCTGTGGAGATGGACTTGGGGGTGCTGGTGGATGAAAAAATTGAACATGGGCCAGCAATGTGCACTCACAGCCCAGAAGTCCAGCTGCATCCTGGGCTGCATCAAAAGCAGCGTGGCCAGCAGGTCAAGGGAGGTGATTCTGCCCCTCTACTCCCCTCTGGTGAGCACTCCCACCTGGAATGCTGCAGACACTGGTGTCCTCACTATAAGAAAGCTGTTGGAGCAAGTCCACTGAGAGCCACTGAGATAATCAGAGGACTGGAGCACCTCTCTTATGAGGACAGGCTGAGAGTGTTGGGGTTGTTCAACCTGGAGAGGAGAAGGCTCTGGGGAGACCTTACAGTGGCCTTTCAGAACTTAAAGGGAGCTTATAAGAAAGATGGAGGGAGATATTTCACCACATCCTGTAGTGACAGGACAAGGGGCAACAGTTTTAAACTGAAGGGCGTATATGTATATTGGATGTAATAATTTTTTTAACGATGGAGGCGGTGTGACTCTGGAACAGGCTGCTCAGAGAAGTTGTAAATATCTTTGCAAGTGTTCAAAATCAGGTGGGACAGAGCTTTGATCAACCTGGTCTAGTGGAAGGTGTGCCTGCCTGTGGTAGAAGGACTGGGCTATATGGTCTTTGAAGATGCCTTCCAGCATCTTCTCTGATACTTGCTCTGTCAACATAGGCATGATACCTGAAGGTGCCTCATGTAGAATTTGTATATAAAGTCAGTAAAACAGTGGTAGTGTTTAGGGGTTTTTTGCAAAGTTCAGCATACATTTTATACTCTGAAATGTGTTGGGAGTTATTTATCCAGCAGACTATACAACAGAGATAGTAATTGGCAAGAAAAGCGTAGGTCAGTGTTTAACTATATAAAGATAGGGCCAAATAAAAGTGGGCTTAATTGTCTTTCTAAACAGTCTTAAGAAGGGTATTGTAGGACGAACTGCAGGTGTGATAGAGAGCAAGAAGATACAAATTCAATGTACTTCATTACTAAAACCAAGTAAACATTCTAGCAGAGAACCATGGTCGTTCCCAGACTCAGGATGTATCTGGTTTAACAAGAATGAGACAATGACAGGCAGAGGACTTCATTGATGAAAATTACCTCACTTCAGTTTGAGTGTATCCATGACAATTTTTTTTTTTTTTTGCAACCATGCTATTAGCACTGCTCCTGTATCATAACATGAGAAGTGCTAGCTTGAACCTACTGGAAAATTGCATCTTGACCTGGTAAACAGCTTACCAGGATATACGATGCTCAATTGTGGCTGTTGCCTAGTTTTCAAACATCACAGATGGCAAAATGTGTGCCTCTCTAGCTTAACTGATGTCATTGCTCATCTTACAGAAACTTCTTGTCTTCTGTTCTTTAAACGTAACCTGTTACATGCTTGTTTCTGGTTTTACACTAACATCTCTTATAGTAAATACTGTCTCCTAGAAAAACTAACAAAGCTTTCAGCAGGACCTTCAGGACCTGTCTGGTTTCTATGTGTATGTTTCACAGACCATTTTAAAGTCTTCTTTAAACGTTGCCTACTTCAACACAGGTGCCTAAATAATGATTGCTGAAGCAAACGAAGCAGCTTCTCTGTGGGTAAATTGCTCATATCTCATACAAAACAGATTAGAACCATGGAAAGCCTAATAAAGTATTAGCTAGTGAAATTTAACCTTAAGTTTTCCAAGTCTACTTCTCTTTCTCCAGTGAAATTGCCCTAAACTAACTCATGGCCTGAATGCTTTCAAGACTTTGGAGAGAGAGAGAGCACCCCTAGAACTAGCAGTAATTGTTGAAGAACAGGTCGGTCTCTATTGCTCCTGTGCAGGATTTGCCTTGGGAATATAGAGAAATGCGGCTAGGGAAGAGTTAGAAATAAATGCTGAAAGCCTAATTTTCTTTCCCACTTACACAGAGGAGAGATTGGGTGGAACTGAGTGCTTGCAAATAGCACAGATGCACAAAGCAGGAGGCATGCCAGTATTAAGCAAGGACCAGGAAACACAGAATCTGTAACCAACTGATTCCTCACAAAATTTTCAGCTGGCCTCCAAAGGAAAGGCCAGGTGTTTGAACTTCATAAAATGTCCAGATCCACACAGACCACAAGCAGAGTGTCACTGCAGGGTAAGTTCAACATGCAAATAACAAATGCAAAAGGACACAGGAACTTTTGTCCAACTGTCCCTCCAGTGGAGTTCATTAGGAGCTCTGCTTCATCTTGGCACACGTCAAGATATCACAGGCAAGATATCTCCTTCTGCTTTGATTGAAGAGACTTCTGGGTTTGGACTTGGTAGCATTCAGACCCAAACAACCCTTGTCCATATTCCAAGCCAGCAGCTTGTGTCATGAGCACTTGCTATGAGCACTTGCTCTCTCTTGAGTGTGCAGTTGCTACTGGGTCCTACCCCACTTCTCACTGATTGTTTGCATGTTGTATTTTGCTTTACCCAACTATCCATGGCTTTTGAAATCCTTTTGTCTTGGAGAAGATTGCAATTTATTTTGCTCACAGCCTCCTCCAGTGTATATGTCAGCAGCATAATGTACTGATGCCAATGCGGGTTCAAATATGGCACAAACTAGAATGTGGGGCAGGCCATTACATTTACTCTTTTGCTCCTTTTTCTGTTTTCTCTAAATCATTCTTTGCAGCCTGACATCGATCTATCTTGCTAACATGAGATTGCCCACTCATATCTCATTTTTTCACTTAGCTAACACTTCCCGCTGTTTCATGCTAACGACATCCAAAGCATCTCTCAGCATCAGCACAGGTGGCATGGGACATCAGAATTGAGTTTTTATATTAGTATTCAAAACAAATCTGAGAGCAGTTGGAGTTCCCAGAACTGTAACCAGTAAGAGTGTTTTGTTTATCGAAACCAGCTGAGTATCAGTAAGAGGAGAAATTAATTCAGAAGGTGCTCAGCACTGGGTGGGACCAGCCCTCTAAGACGGAAATTCTGGCCTAACTGTTTTAACGACTGCTTCCTCTCCCCACTATCATTTCAGTGCTGGCTGAAGCAGGACAGTTCAAAAGAATTGAAATTAACTTTTAATCACGCTTTTGCAAAAGTTTGCCACTGTTTGTTTAGATAATTGTCAAGTTCCAGCTTTACTAGGTATTGGCTCAGGCAATTTGTGGTGCGAAGACCTGCGCCTTTGCACTGTAACAGTAAGCAAACAGAACAATAAGTAACAGTAAGTATCAGTAAGCAGGCAGAACTATAAGCAGAGCAATAGGCAACCCCAAGCAGAGCTGTATGCAGCAGCAAGTAGGCAGCAGCAATAAGCAACTTCAAGCAGAACCACAAGCAGTCCACTGGTCCCTGACCACAAAACAGTTCCCCAGTCCTTTAAAGAAATGGCTCCCAGGTGTCCCGGCATGAGGCAGCCTGGAAACTCCTGCTTGTAATAAAACTGTCTTATTTATTTCCTACAATACCGTGATCAAACACTTACAATCATTCTTTTGCATCTGCCTGAAGGTAAGCCAGCAAGATAAACCAGTAGGAGGAAGGTAATGGTAGGAGTTGCTTCCCCCTTAATTGCATATGAGGAGGACAGTGGAATTAGCTCTGTCCTTGGACCAGATCCATATGTGATACAAACTTTCCACTTCATGATATTATTAGTGACTCTGTTGTTCTAAATTGCTGCTCTCGTGTCCTCAAGTAGGAATGTCTTTGTTGAGAAATCCCATGTAGGAGGTTGCTTCGTGAAAGGAGTGACTGCATCACTGGCAGCATGAGCTGCCTA